GACTAACGAGCAGATCTAATCTGAGGCAGGAGTCCATTTAGAGAAAGGAAGTTTACTGGGTGTGTCCTTATTTTCTACCTACAATTTGAGTCATTCCATACTTTTTCCTCAGAATTGAGTGATTCCATATATTTTCCCCTGTGCTTGTTCAATAAAGTAACATTCACTGACTTCCTCAATGTTTTCTCTTCATTTCTTTGAGTGTTCCTGAAAGCCAACAAGTTGCACTTAAATGACCTTATTATTGTATCATGTTTTTGATCTGAGTTTGTTTTACAGAATGAAATGTCTGAATGAGTGCTCATCCAAGACTGGTAATTCCATACTTTTTGCCAGGGGTTACTTAATACGCTTCCATCCACGATATGTTATGACTAAATCAGTCAACACAAGTATTAGCTGCATACACATTCAGTTTATCGACTCCATAGAGTTAAATAACACCAATACCAAAGTATCACTTCACAAGATGCTCTACATTCCTTATTTTAATGGTGATAAAACTGGGTTTTCTGGTAATTTTCATTCTCATAATATTTAGAAATTATTTATTTAATATTTCAACTTTATCCTGTTAATATTGTGGCTTTGTTCTCATAACAGTATGATTTTATTCTCATAAAAGTCTTGTAGAATGGCCCTAATAGTCTGTCATATGTTTGTCTGCCTGCAAGCTACATTTCTGAAGAAATTTTAACAAAACTCTCAGAATGCAACCATTGATTAAACTACAACTGAATAACTTTGAGTCAACCCAATTCAACAAGGTCACCACAGATAACTGAACATTGCAAGCATAAAATTAGCTAAGGCTAATGGTTTTTTTGTTTAAAACCTTTGCATGCAAGGCACAAGGTAAGATATTTTCAAAGACTGCTGTTTTAAGCAGATTTCTCATTCAGCTCAGTTTTATATATGATGAACTCTGACTCTATCTCTGCCTTATGTGAGACTATGTGTTCCCTGCTTTGGCCGCTGACACTTTATTYTTCACTGTTAGTTCCACACATACATCATCTATTGAACAGACCWCCAAGGCCACAGCTACATAATCCTTTAAACTCCCTGCATACAGCTCATACAACGATGCACTGGTGCAGACATGGCTCACACATTAAGGTGCGATGTAATGTTTTGTGGTACAATGTGACACTGTTGATGAATGCTAAGTACAGTATTTGATTAAATTGACTAAAGACAAGGAGAATGCTGACTTCATTAAAAAAAAAGTATTAAAATATAAGTAAAACACAACATAGTTGAAGAAAAAAAGTAATAATAAAACAGTAAAGTACAAACATATTTAACCAGTAGTATACATTTCTCATGAAAAAAAAGTGCATACAAATCCTCTTCTTTGGACTGCTCTTTTTAGGGGTCTCCACAGTGGCTCATCGGCTTTCATCCCCAGTAAGCTCCTCTGTCACAGCAAATCTCTGCCTAACCTCTTCCACCAAACCTCTGTGGTTTTGCTCTTTTCCTCCTCAAAATATAGAAAAATAACAATTTCACAACAAACTGAACAACCCCTACAACAGCTTCAAGATACATGATGCACCAACCCATTCAGCCSCTGTAAAGTATGAATTAAAAAAGGGTCATAAAAACTATTTAGACTACATCTGAGAACTCTCTGTCAGAAGCCAAGAATCCRATAGCAAAATATGTGATAGGATCTAACAAAACTTTCTTCACCTGTTTGACTGCAGACTGATGTTTTTAGTCCCCATTCTCACTTTCAAGACCCATGTTAAACTGTTTGCACAAACGTCTCTCTGGAGCTATGAGGGGATTTTTTTTTTTTGGATAAACTGTGTGCACTATCTGTTCGTATATTGACAGTTTCAAATTTGTTATGAATGACAGTGAATAATTGAGGAAGAGAGGCGGGAAGAACAGCAATACGGATGGGAAACATGACTGAAAGAATCTGAGTGAAATGGAAAGACAGAGGCACCTCATCTCCAGGCTATCAGTTATTGATTGAATGTGAAACATCCCATGCAGGCTCCAGCTAATAACACTGACAGCAGTGTAGGAGCTTGTAATTTAGGAAGTAGACTGAAACACACACATATACACACACAAATATGCACTCAAGAGAAAGGATATACAGCTCTTGGGGTAAGACAGGTAGGGTTTTCAAGTTAATTGGGAATCTTTGACATTAAGGATTGTATCATTGAGTTTATGAATCTGTCATATTCCCTACTGTTCCTTCCTTGCCAATAATGCTCAAATTCTACCATCTCTTTCTCAATTCTGTCTGCGTCTGCTTGTCACTCTTTGCAACACTTGGCCAAATTCTTCCCATCACTCAATCCATCCTCACCTCCTTTCCCAATTGTGTCATTCCTCCCTCGCTCTTTCCATTGCTCCTCTAAAATCACCCTCACTTTCTCTCCATCTGTCCTTCTCTCTCTGAGGAATGACTCTCTCTTTTTCTCATTCTCTCTGTTGGTCTGGTATCTCAGGAACATGCCAGACGCTCGTGGGATCTTTGTGGCTTTGATTCATTTTTTTTTCTTCCTCCCCTTCATTTGCTGCTATACCTGCCGCATTCACCGGTCAACTTCATATGTCTGCAGCAGCTCTCTGCAGCAAGCTCACACACCCACCTATACTGCACACATACACACAAGGGGGACACAGCAAATGTTCATTCGAACTTTAGACTCTGGACATAATTTGCTGCATAATGACCATACTTTTTTATGCATGACAATGAATTTACTAGAGCAACTGTTATAAGACAGACAAAGCAGGCAAATTTCTATAGGTGAGGCAAATATAAGTAYCGTAGCATGCAATAAGATGTAGTAGCTGAATGGCTACTTACAGCATTTGATGAAATGGTAGTGAGACATTTTCTGGGTAAGTCAGACCCCCAGGCAGGCAGAAAGGTAAGCAGCAAAGTCTATGTCAGGCAGGCAGGTGGGCAGCTACAGGTTCTTAAAAAATGACCWAACTAAAGCAGACCTCGTAACCGGCACGATGCATTATTAATCTGGCTCYTTGCATGCTATCCAAACTCCTCTGTCTGCATTATTCAGCAGCAGCAGTGGCAGCTCCGGTTGCGACTCATGCAGCTTCTACATGCACACAGTTCSAGACTCTCCCTCTCTCTCTCWCACACACACACACACACATACATTTCTCTCACAGACATACAGTAGGCATCCTTCAGTCAACCTGTCAGCAACGAGGAGCTGCGGCTGCTTCTACCTCTTTTCCCCCACCGCCAGAAAACTGCTGCACAATGACTACCCTGCCATAGCCGACGCACGTGCTCCACTGGCGTCACTGACTGACAGCCGGCTCATCCCTCCTCCCGCTCAACACACCCCCATGACGCAATGCTCCTCACCTCCTTACACTCTCCCCACTTCTGGTCTCCTTTTTACACACAGGTTTGCAGAGATGCATACTAATCCACACTGCTGTAGGTCTATCATCAACATGCCAAAGACGAATGGAAAGATTCACGATGACTGAAACAGTGTATGCAGGATAGGGTGAAGAATCTGAAATTTAAAAAAAAGGGATATACAGTAGGGGGAGCAAGAGACGATGGAAGAGAGGGAGCGTTATATTTGACAAAAGAACTGCTACAAACAGAAAGCAGAAGCAGCTGCAGTGCGGCTTTTACTATGATGACAGGTTAAATGATCAGGAATGATCTTAAAACAGCTCCAGCTTAATTAGAAATAAGTATAATTGACTAGATTGGTRAAGCTGAACACCTAAACACACACTCTGCACACAAACACACCCACACAGATTATGACGTCATGTGAACGATGTGCTTTCACTGTTTGTTTGTCTGCAAGAAAACCTCCATGGTTTTGTGCTTTAAGGCTAATTTGATTTGTATATATGATTTTTTTTTCTGCATTAAAAAGGCTTTAAGGGTTAAACTTGAAGATAAAATGAGAAAAGCGGGAGAAATGAGAATGACACTGAAGGTGAGATGGATGAGTGTAAAATGATTTAACTGTGTTTGACTAAAGAAGGATTGCAGCACTTAGTAGGATCGGCGCTCAGACAGGTGACATGGCGTGCTCGTTCTTCCAAGAGATTCCAAGAGTCATTACTTCACCACAACGTGAGCACGCGGAGATGGAATAAAAGAACTCAAGAGGCTGGTGAGGTTCGCTCTGTGATGACAGCGAAAGCAGGAGAGAAACAGAGCGAGTATGTAACAAAATGAGAGGACAAATCGAGGAGTGTGTGTGTGTGTGTGTGTGTGTGTGTGTGTGTGTGTGTGTGTGTGTGTGTGTGTGTGTGT